TTAGGCACGCCTGACATGGGGGGTAAACTGGCGTACGTGTGACGATTTAGCGAAACGCGCGTAATGGTGCCGGTGACGGTGACTCATCGGTAAACAATGAACAATGCCCATGAATCTAGTGCTTGGTGGGTGATAGCGGACCCAGCACGGATTGGTAGATGATAACAGACTCAGCGTGGATTGGTGAGTGATAACGGGCCCAGTGCGGATTGGTGGGTGATAACGGATTTAGTGTGGATTGGTGGGTGATACGTGTGGTACCCAACGCGGATTGGTGGGTGATAATTGACCCAGTGCGGATTGGTGGGTGACAATGGACACAGTGCGGATTGGTGGGTGATAACGGACCCAGTGAGGATTGGTGAATGATAACGGACCCAGCGCGGATTGGTGGGTGATAACGGACCCAGTGCGATTTGGTGGGTGATAACGGACCCAGTGCGGATTGGTGGGTGACAACGGACCTAGCGCAGATTGGTGGGTGATAATGGACCCAAATAAAAGGGTTAAAATATGGGTAAGATATATTTTTTTCCCTAATATTTATCATCATTATTGGGAGATCAATTAACCGTGTATACAAATAACCCAAAACAAAAACGACAAACGTACTTAAAATAAGATTTACCTCTCCGGTATGTCGGTATTTGCACTTATTCAAAATTGCAACTAAAATTTTCGCTAGATTCAAACTCCGAATAATGAGCCATATCCACCTAGCGGTTGAGCACAAGTCATAACCTTTCATGCCATTGAGGTAAAAGTAGAACTTTTTATTCCTCACCGGAAAAATCATCGAAAACAATTCATCGAATTACAATTCTTCGAACACAATTCATCGAAAAAATAATTCGTCGAACAACAATTCTTCGAACGGTAATTCCCCGAAAAACAAAAAAGTAAACCATTCTGATCCAGACAACCCATTTATTGCCCCAGACGGTACTCACACGCAGAGGATCGAGTCCCAGTGGAAGGCTGTCAAAAGATATTTCAGAAAAGATAATTATAACCATCCGCACGATTTTGCAGATTCGATTGTAGAATATTTGTGGCGCAGAAACATAATTAAATATAAAAAAGACGCGTTTTTAGAAACAATTAATGCCATAAAACATGTATACAAAATAAATTAATGTGTAGAATTTCATGCTTTTTATATTTCATATTATTAGTGACAGAACCGAAGTGGGGCGGGGGGGCGCAGCCCCCGAAAGGGGGGCTCGGGGGGCGAAGCCCCCCGCAATGAATAAAGTCTAAAGAGTTCATTAGGTTAGGTTAGGTTAGTATGATGACCAAAAACGCGCGAGCCGAGCGAGCGGAGCGAGCGTGCCGCGGCAGCGGCCGGCGAAGCGCCAGAAACGACACTTTTGTACGTGCAACGTTTTTTTTTTCATACTTTTTCCCCTTTCCCCACCTCGTTTTAGCCTCCCTCCTGCTAAATTTTCATTTTTTTTTGGAATTACCGTTCGAAGAATTGTTTTTCGACGAATTGTTTTTTCGATGAATTGTTTTTTTTATATGAATTGCGTTCGAAGAATTGTAATTCGATGAATTGTTTTCGATCAATTTTCCGCAAATCCTTTTTATTAGCTGCAGTAAAATGACGTTTTGTGGGTTACCGCTTTTTGAAGAAAAATAAATAGGGATGTAGCTAAGTGAGTAAGTGAATCATTCAATAAATGAGTGATCAGTTTGGTTTTATTTTAGAGATTTAATATTAAGTTGTAATGTTTTTTTATTCTATTATTATCACTTTAGTAAAGGATTGATCTTTTTCAGTGGAAGTATAAGGACGTACATCCAAAATTAAACAAAATAGACATAACAATGTTATTTATTAATCAATCATTTTCGGAATCACTATCGCTTCCGGTCACACTAATGACAAATCTGTCTGTCACTACATCTATAATATGATCGAGGTGGCACATTTTGTCTTCCTCTTTTATAGTGTGAGACACGCAGTCACTCCACTTAGTCGTGTCACTTTGTTGATTCCTTCTTGGAATAAAGTTTTCACTTCTTGCATTTTATATGTTTTATTATTGTTTGCGACGTGTCCCTTTACCTGAGCCCAAACCAACTCGATGGGGTTCAATTCACAGTGATAAGGGGGCAGTCTTAAAAGTCTGATACCTTTTTCAGCAATCTCGTCCACGCCATATTTCTCAGTATGATTTCGTTGTTTTACAATATCTATGAGAGTGGCCTTCACCATATTTGGTTCAAAAGTAATATTTTTAGTGGTCAGCCACTCTTGAATTCGTGCTTTCGTCCACGATATCTTTGGGATTGTTTCGATCTTCCTAGAATGATAGGGGGCGTTGTCCATTACGACTACTGCATTCGGCTTGAGTTAGGGTAGAATGCCGTCGAACCACTCCTCGAAACACTCTGCGTTCATTTCATCATGGTAATTTTCTGTACCTTTCTTTGCTTCAAACATAAGAAGTCCGTCGTCCAGGAAGCCTTCTTCTCCGCCTATGTGACTGATTATAAGTCGTTTGCCCTTTCCTGTGGGATTTTTTAATCCCGTAGTTAGACCGTCTAAAAATGCGTGCCGAGATGATTTTATACTTCCACCACTCCAGGTTTCTTTTGTAGTATGACCTGAAAGAACAAAAAATAATCATATGTTTCGACAGCTAAATAAAAGGGGATCAAACATAGAAAACTAAGAGTTGCCAGTTACCAGCGTTGATCCAGGTCTCGTCTTGATAATATATGTGTCTTCCCTCCCTACGATATTGTTTAATTAAACGCAGGTAGCGCTGGCGCCATGATATGATAGCTTGTCTGTCAATAGGTACGCTCTTGCGTGTTCGAGTAGTGAATTTGAAATTAAGATGCTTCATAATTTTTCTCAATGTTTCTTTCGAGAAGTTGGCAATTCTGAGTCATCATTTACAACTTGCAGCACCTAAAAATTATTGACTTATTATTACATAATTGGTTAAAATTTCACATGGGGTGGGAGAAAACATATTATACCTAACGAATAATAATAAGATTAGTGATGACAAGTAAACTAACCTTTGCGATGGTTGGTACTTCATTTCTATGACAGAACTGATGTACAATTCGTCTAATAGCGGTGAATGTGAAATCATCAAGTTTTTCTTTAAATGTAAGTTTTGGGCCAGAGATTTCGGGAGGTTTTAGTGATTCACAGTCGTTCTCCTTGTGCTCCTTTAAAACAGAATAAACAGTGCGGACGGATATTCCCAAGACTTCAGCCACCTTGTTGACGCATTCACTTGGAACTTAAATGTTTGATTCTGTAGATTTCACTTCAAACACATATTTTTAAACGTTTCTGATCCAAAGTTTCTCGGTTGCACTTAGAGCTACACGTGGCCTTATTTTCTTAGGAGATAAAAATGTATCTCCATCTTGTGATGTGCTCAACTGAGCATCCATGTCTTCGATGTAACAAACAATCGGTAACGAAAAACAAACACAACGTAACAAAAATTTAACAATAAAGATAACTAAAACAACTCGCAGTGGGCAAAGCAAAGTTATTCGTGCACTCAAAATAGAAGTTAGAAGCCGAATGAGCGAATGACAAATAAAATAAAATGGCGGACAAGCGTCATCGTAGCACCGTAAGTACTGGTTTTTAGTTACGGTGCTACGATGTATGATCATTATGAGTTACTTATGGAACGATTAGATTTTCTGTGAACCTAAGCACATTCCTATTGAAATTAGGCTGTCAACATTATTTTACGGAATGACATTTTGAAACGTCATTTTACTGCAGCTAATAAAAAGTCGAAGTATAGTTTGCAGATACATCAATAAATGGCGCGAAAATAAATTTTTATCTGCAAGTGTCACGGGTGACACCAGCCCCCCTAGCATGACTAACAAAACGCGATATGATAAAGCGATTTATCGACACTCAACTGTCAAACTCCATTGTAGTTTGACAGTTAATGTCGATAAATCGCTTTATCATATCGCGTTTTGTTACTCATGCTAGGGGGGCAGGGGTCTCAAGAGGATATAATTAAAAATTAACTTGAAAAAATGCTCATTTTACTACAATTATTCTAGAATTTTATCCTGCAAGCGGTTTTGATGTAATATATTTGTTGTGAGGTGGTTATTATTAGCTATGCATTCTTAAAAAAGCTTTACTTTTCAATAAATGGCTATGCATCATGAACTAAAATTGTTATTATTATAACAATAACTTGAGGTGACTATTTTGCTGTGCAATAAGTATTTTTGCTTAGGATTGGCAATTAATTTTTATACAAAATGTAATTTTTTTGAATTGCAGTTAAATACTAGCCAATAAAAAAATATATCACCCCCGGTGCTGCCGTTAGGAATGGTGCCCAATAGGCTGGCAGCATTTTGATCACCAGTCACCTCGGTGAGTTTCTTAGATAATTCTTAAATAATTCCATAAAAAAAGGTAAATTTAAAAAATCAAAATCCCGACTGCTTAAATATGACTTCAAATAAAAAACTGAAAAGAAAAAAAAACAAGTCCAGTAGTCTATAATTCTGTTAAGTAAGGAACAAAGCTGCTTTAAAAGTCGGGACCCATTAGTTATTCAAAGATAATTTTTTTTTCAATAATGGGATGGCGATTATCTAGACAATGATACCCCACTCGACATATTTCGGCAACTTATTTTTTTTTCTTTCTCACAATATGACGCCCAGTCTCCATATTGATCTTTGATTATTATCATATCTTTAGTAGCACTCCCATATAAGACGAATCGATTGATGTATGAATCATCAAAATCGGTCTATGCGTTTGGTCTCTAGTGTGCCACAAAGGAACAAACATACATATATAGACTGTTAAACACTATACCCTGTCATACCGCAGTCGGGTAAAAATAGGCAATAACGTGAGATCGTTTTCTAAAACTTTTCAAATGAACTATTCTGTCATGATTTTCTAATCTTAAAACTAAATTTAACATCGAATCTCTCCTTTTCATTCTGTATAAAGAAAATGACAAGGATACACTGTTGTCAAATTTAAGTTTAGATAAGGAGAATCATGCCAGTATCGACACCAGTATCTATTGAAGTACTTAAAGTAGATATGAATATGATAATTTCATGATAAACAGTTATCGTTATCAAACAGTTGTAATTAAACTCATTTGATTTCTTTCAAGTAAAAAGTTTCAGTGACATATTTTACTCCGAATTATCAATAATGATTCTTTATTTAGTTTTAGCTACTTTATTTAGTAATCAATATGTAGCTGGTAAGTTTTATATTTTAATGAACACATATTTTATTTTATAATATGCAAGCTGTGCTCCGCGGTTTCACCCGTGTAATTTGAGGAAATAGGAGTGAATTTCAACAACTATGATTATTTACCAAATTTTGGTAAACATTTTTGTTTTTTATAGTTAAAATCTATATATGTAGTAATTGTCAGAGATGTAAAAGATACATTAAAAAAAATAAGTATTTAGATAACAGATACAAGATACTTTAGAAAAAGTATTTGAAATACCAGATACAAGATACGAATTTTCAAAATACTTTTTTTAAGATAAATATACTTTTTGAAACAAAACATGTTAACAATATAACCACTCCGCTGTGCCTGTTTTTTAAATAATAAAACTGTTAGGCCACGCCCCTAAAGACGTGGCTGCTGTTCTTTCAATCATTAAGTTCATCATCATCATCTTACGATTGATCTTACTTGCATTCACGTTTCTTCAATATTTATCAAGAACTATGAATTATTCATAGTTTGGATGTAATTTATTTTTCGATATTCTGTCAGTGCAGGGTGTTTATGATTGGCCAGGTTTAAGATGGGTGAACATGATTATGAATATGCAGGTTGTTTATGATTGGTTGGGTTTGGGATGGGTGACCACGATTATTAATAATATGCAGGTTGTTTACGATTGGTTGGCATTGGGATGGGTGACCGTGATTATTATAATATGCAGATTGTTTAAGATTGGTTGGGTTTGAGATGGGTGACCGCGATTATTAATAATATGCAGTGTTTACGAATGCCTATGTTTAAGAGATGATATAATTAATAAGCTCCGGTCTCTCTCCTTAATTATTTGTAAAATTAACCTGATTATTATCTTCGTTTCACTCCATTACAAAACAGACCAAAGAAATTTACACAAATTTCAAACGACTTTTCTTCCTCTAGTCAACGCTAACAAAAAACGTAGGTATTTGACGTATTTTTTGTTCTCTACCTCCTAACCCATAACATTAAGGTGAACGAGACGGAAACAGAATGAACCTATGATTTTAATTTCACGGTGAACAAAGTTGATGGATAAGTAAAGCACTTAGGCTTAGAATAGTAAAGCGCTAAGTTATAACAATGCATGCGTTTTAAAATCAATGTTGAAGATGATGTATATAGGAAAAGAAAAAGTATTTTTAAAATACTAAGATACCAAAAAAAGTATTTAATTACAAGATACAAAATAAATTTCAAAAAAGTATTTGTATAATACAAGACACAAATACGTATTTTGTATCTTGTATCTGTATTTTAGATACTTTTATCTTAGATAAGTCACAACTCTGGTAATTGTCGTACATAAACCTAATTATATACATGAATTACGATATAGAACCAAAATTGTTAATTGACATCAAAATTAGTTTTAATCTTTATCAATTTATGAGTTTAAGCCCGGGACATGTGCTGATCGCATGCGACAGAAGTGAAACCTACAAAAATGTGAACACATAAAAGTTCTTCATTACTAGGTACGCCTTAAAGACAACACCTGTGTTAAAATTCAACTCTTTCGGTCAAAATTTAATATTTTGTATTACCTCCTTAAATTGTTCGAAAAAAGAATAATAGCCTAATAAAAGAAAAAAATGAGAATGTGCGTTATGTTTAAAGACATTATAAACTAATCACTTTAATTAATTGAAATATTAATATACTATTTAAGTTATTTTTTTTATTTTAGGTTTAAATAATTTTATTTCCCATACGAACTTACACAGACAGTTCACTTAAAATGAGATACATAACTAAAACTAATAACTTAATTGAAATGACGAAGCGCAGCTGCTTCACAAAACTATAATTTAGTTTAATAGGTAGGCATACTATTGTTATTAGTACAAGCACAATACAAAAATGCTACTAGCATGTTTACGAGCGAATGACAAAATAATTATTTTGCTACCGTTCACAAAGAAAAAAAGAAAAACATGCAATTCGTACCGCGGCGGAGTACCGACAAGTAACCAAGACGGTAGTAGGTATTATTCCATCAGTCACTCGATGCATAGCATTATGAAAGATGTGGAGACGCTTAAGCAACTCATTGCGTTAGAAATTATACTTATATATTTAATTTTTGAATTTTCTTTTATATAAACCATGTGCTGATAAAAACGAACACAACAAAAGAAGATTATTTTATTATACTATTTAAGTTATATTTATTAAGGGAGGTCGCGCGGGGCGCCGTATTGATAACAGTCGTGTCTATTTCGTGCTCCTGATTTTCGAAATTATTGATAAGCAAACTTGTGAATTTCCTTGTGAAAAAGTGATCAGTGTACTCCTTGACACAAGACCTAGCTTGGGCACCGAAAAGTGTTTTCGTTTTTAAACAGTGAACATTTTTAACAGTGGCGTAGCGTGCCTTGGTGGGGCCCCGTATAAAAATTTTTATACGGGGCCCCACCCCGTATAAAAATTTTTTTCGGGGCCCTTAAGAAGGGTAAAGATTTCTCACAAAAGAAAAAAAATGTTTGCATAAAATTAAAAGAAATATTTATTCATCATTATTATCTATCTGAAGCATTTTACATTTTTATTACAAACAATTCAAATAAAATATACACTCTCTTTGCCTTTTTTTCGGCAAACTGATTTATTACATCATTTATAGCTGATGATGACTTTAGTTTTTTAAAGGACATTGGGCAAAAATGTATGGACGCTGCACCCACGTCCGCCACGGCTTAAACTACATTTGTTTGAAAGGTATTATAGTCATGATCATCTGTGCCAAAGCGCATCAAATTATATCCCGGGAGTCTTAAGTTATTTTAAGTTAAATAGGTACAAGTACTATAACGAACGAACATTAATAAAACAAGGGATTTAATTTCGTTAGTTAGTTCGACACTACATAGGGGGCTCAGATTCTATAAAATTAGTGCTAAGTTTGTTATGTAATCTTACTGTACTGATTGTTTTTGGTCAATAAATCTTTAAAAAAAAAGATATTAAGGGAGTAAGTACTTCACAGGGTTCAAGGGTACCCCTTATGTTATTCTGCAGCACTAGAGAAAAATTCAAAAATCCCCGCATGGGTTGGGGTTATAGTAAATTGTCTTCTTTGTAAAACGGAGCGTCCACAAATCACCCAACCTTGTCCACGCTTCGAAGAAAACATGATTCCAGTTCATCCATACTAATTGACAAAACCGATAACCGTGTTCTAATGTCCAAAGCGTGTTAGATAAAAACCATTAAAGTGTCAGGGAGCGCACAATTACAACGAAGTAAAACGAGTCGACTATTTGCAAATGCAATTCCTTCAACCCCCGTAAACCGTTTTGAGGTGGCTCAGTAAGTGCAAGCGCAGGATAGATCGGCAGACTTTGTCGTATATCTGGTTGTATAGTACGATATGGCATATTATTATGGTTACTATTAATATAAAAAAATATATATATAAAATGAAGGTACTATAAATGAATTTATTTACCTACTTAAATATGCCCATGTGTCATATCTTTTGACTACCAGGGCATTTTTTACGGTGTCATATCTTTTGACTCCCAGGATATTTTTTTTCCGTGTCAAAATAAAAAAGGCTAGTTTTTCATAGATCTATCGATTCATACTAATTATATTGTTGGCGGAGCTGGGTGCGTTTTGCCCATTGTCCTTTCTGCCTCTATGGACAATAGTGACTGTGGGATATCCCCGTTTAAGTAAATGACTTAAACGAAATCCCGCAGCTCGCGAAAACCACTATAGGGTGTTGCCAACGTTGCTCATGTTCAATGTAGTAAAATATAAGAATCCTGAATATTCATATAATAAATTATAGTATTCTACTTTTCACCATCACTACGGTTCGGGTGTGCCCAGGCATGTAAAGGCGCCTTTGAGCACCCACGAACACAGGACGGTTGGCTTCACTGGCAGTTTCCGCTACCAAGCGACTAAATGCTGGAATAACATACCTCCACCCATAAGACTTATTCCGTGCAAACAGACTTTTAAATCACTTCAGAAATCATCTTTATTAGAATATCAGAAAATTGGAATATCCAGAAATTTGATGCTTTGATGCGGAGGTGTCGGTGTTGGTGGTAGTTTTCCAATTACAGCATTATAGCGCATTATGCGGCATATAATGGTGGTTTTCCAATTACAGAGCATAATGCGACTCAGTGGCGCACAATGCCGAATCATGCTGATGCTTAATTGGAACGTGAATTAGTTTTCAAATGCACCAGCAGAGTGCGCTAAGTTCAGTGTTGAAAAAAAAGTCAATGTTTGTACCTTCATCCATATTTATATTTAATTTTTAACATAGTTTGAATTAACTTTGATTATTTAAAAAAAAACTATGATGAAACGAAAGTTTTAATAATTTTTCAACAATAAATAATATTACTAACGATAAAATATAAATAAAATATTTCGATCAATGCCAACTTAAAGAAAAAACACTTGTTAATTTTCTGTCTCTGAGTTGGTACGATTGCACGCATCACACGAAAGCATTACTTTTGAGAATGCTCAATTGTGCGAAGCGTTGCTGTAGTTGGAACACTCAACATTAAGCATTATGCCGCATAATGCGCTATAATGCTGTAATTGGAAAGCTACCAATGTTTCAACTACAGCAACGCTTCGCACAATCGAGCACTCTCAAAAGTAATGCTTTCGTGTGATGTGTGCAATCGTACCAACTCAGTGACAGAAAATTAACAAGTGTTTTTTCTTTAAGTTGGCATTAATCTAAATGTTTTATTTAATTTCTTTCGGTTTTGCCACCTGAGAGGCTATTGTCGTCAATAATATTATTTATTGTTGAAAATTTAAAGTTTTCGTTTCATTTGTAGGAAGGCCAGAGGGGAAGATCTTCCTCCGAGCTGGGTGATGTTAGCTCGGGGGCCGCGGCCCGACTGATGTTCTCGGGATTCTTCCACTTTGTGGTGGGTTCGGGTTCGAAGTTCTGTTCATTCCCCGGGCTGCTTCTCACGGGGGTGCGCCCC